CTGACAAACTCATTGGTGCTCTTGCCGTCGAAGTTCCCACACAGCCCGCACAGGCGTCCGGCATGCCGCCGCTCCACCAGCACCTGTAGGTGGCTCTGCTGGGCGCGGGCCTTGTCCACGGTGGAGGCCGCCTGCGCCTGCCCCAGCCCGGGCGCCCCCCAGCTCCCATACCCCTCGGTGGAGAAACAGGCACACAGAGCCCTGGCCAGGCCCAGGGTGCTGCCAGGAGTCAGCCTGGCTTTGCAGGAAGGGTCGGGACCGCCAGGGAAGGCCCCTCCGGGCGCTCCGGCTCCCCTTGGCTGCACTCTCCATGCCTGGCCGGCCCCTGGTCCTCACCAGGAGGTGGGCGTCCGCCCCGCCCCACCCCTGTCCTCACCAGGAGGTGGCCGTCTGGGCCCCACATGACTTCTAACTCCAGCTCCAGCTGCTTGGCCACCAGCTGCACGCTCTGGCCGAAGGGCGAGATCTGCAGCCCGTGACTGGTGTGGGGCAGGCTGACCACCCTGGGGGGCGAGGGCAGTCGGTGGCTGTCCCCTGGGCTCCGGCCCCCGCCCCGGCTCGCCCGGCCCCAGCCTACCCGATGTCCTTGACGGAGATGGTCCCCCCGCTCACGGTGACGACGGTGGCCCCCAGCTCCACGATGATCCGGGAGAGGCTCCCGTCTGGCGTGCGCCGCAGCTGGACGCTGAAGCTGGGGGACGCCTGCTCGCAGATGGCCGCGAAGACATAATTGCACGTCCCCGAGAAATCGTACACGTGGCCGTCGAAGGTGGAGATGTGGCCGGCCCCCCACGTGGAGCACCAGCCCTTGTCGGGGACTGTGGAGAGAGGCCCGGACAGGAAGCCTGGGATCCTGCCGGCCGGCAGGTGGGACCGGGCACAGGCTCGGGGAGCCCACGTGGGAACAAGGCGGTGGGAACGGGCCCTGCCTCCCGACCCCATGCCCGCCAGCACTGGGTGGGGGCTGCTGCCCCCCTGCCCACTGAGCCCAGGCCACCCTCGGAGTCCACAGCATGTGAGGTGGCGGCTTAGCCCGCCCACCCAGCAGGGGTCCTGCCACCTCGGGCACCTGCCTAAGCCCCAGAGCTGTGGCGTGTGCCTGTTGCCTGTCTGGGCTCAGCACTTCATAGACGTGTGCTTGTG